CAACTCTCGATGGCATCTTATGTGTCCGATTTTCACTGGTTTTGAATCCGATCTGCTGCTCAACGCTCATTGATGATTAAATAAAAAATGGGAAATGGAGACCATGTTTTTATCGTACCGAATTGAGTATCAAGGCTAGCCTAAAATTCAAAAGCTAATATCTCCGTTTAGAGTGGAGCAATTTGAAATTTTCAGCATATTCTATATTCTATCAACTCGTTATCTAATCTCCCATAATGTCCCTTTAAGAACTTCCCTGATAAACGAAACCCGCCATTGATTCTATCCATTGTAACTAATATTCCTGATTATATTAAAACCATGATTTTGAAATTCTTTTAGATTTGTTTTTTTTAGAAGAAAACACCCATGGTTGGTTTAACTAAAATCACCATGGATATTGGCTATTGTCGTTAATAAGGCCTACCTCTTGTTAAGATCAGGGTCTATTTATTTGTTGTTTTTTTTAAAACAAAAATAGACCTTCATATTTAGGTGTCCTCGGATACCTAACTCCGTTGTTGTCCATAGATATTTTACGAATTGAAACTGAGTGAATGTTTGTATTTGAAACAAACGGTAGGACATTTGTAAAAATGTGGTTTTATTCACAATAAAATGTCCAGTAGACATCCATCAACTTTATCGCGGTATTTATACTCACATAATGGACTACATCCATGTATGGCAGATTCTCAAACAAATTAAATGAAAGGGGGTTCAACGTCCTATTGTTCTCCCCCGACTGGGCTAATGAAGACGGGCATACGCCATACAGTGTGCTATGAGGGAAATTTTGCCCGGACAGCTGCACTACGGCCTACTCTTATATCTTCTTCCAACTGTCAAGGGATCTTTTACCTGCACGCCAATGTGTACACGGGACCTCGGTTTTTTCGTCCCACCCGAACGACTAGACAGTTCTTGTCAGGCCCTCCGTCCTGTGGCAGATTCTCAAATCAATGGGTATTGACATCAAATGTTCTGTTGGTAGCCTACACGTATTTTTCGCTAACATGGACATTGCTCCTTGTGATGAATAATCCTAAAAGCCGTGGAAAACAAAATGGCGATTTATTAGGTGCAGAACTGTCAGACTATTACCCCGCAGCAAATTAAAATTAGACGACTTTCTATTTAAAACAAATAAAGATTCTCATTTCAATTTTCTTAAAGACAAAAGAATTTTGATGGAGAATATTGCTGAGCGTTTAATGTTTTTTGATAATATTATTTCTGAGGTAAAAAAAATATGAACTTTTTTTCATCCCATATTTTTCTTGGTGGTTATGAACATAACGTTACCTTTATTATAAGAATGTACGTAAGTAAAAATTCAGACGAGGGACTAGACATGGAAACCTTTTGAACGAAACATAAAACGAGAAAGTCAAGGCACAAAACATCGACATAAGTACGATGCTATCGGAGTTCGTTTTAATAAGGGTTGAACAAAAATATGGAATGGCCTGATGTCTGGTGGTCGACGAAACGAAATATTATTATTTTAATCCTCGAATCAACAATATCTAATACAATGTACGCCTATATATGTAAATAAAATTTAAGACTTAAGAAATATGTTTCTAATAACGTTCAGAAGATAGGTGACTATCGGATTCTAGTCGAGGTCAGTGGGTACGATGGAATTGGTTAAAGAAAGGGGAGGTTTGACATGGTTGTTGTCAAATATTGTCATCACACACACACACCGACCATTAGGATTCGGGTTACTATAAAAACGTTTCAACAAATATTAAAAACAATATGGATTTCCCAACCCGAATAAAAGATGGCATCTCAGTGGTCTAAATAGAGAATAAATAACCGCGCCGACTCCCTTTAGAATGCAGAAAAAAATATGTAAATGGAAGGAGAAAAGCGACAACAAGTGATAGCTTAAGCCAAAAGATTGTTTCTTTTCTACAAATTGCAATCGCGGGTTGTCCCTTGGACCGCAAAGCGGGTTTGAATTAATGAAATAACTACAATAGTCGATATAACCTTGTTTCTTTGGAGTGGACGTTAAACATCATTTTTGTTTCTTTCTTTTTATTGTCAGATCATTTGCATTGGGCCTGCCTAAATAGGGACTCTTTCGGATAAATGCCATTTTAAACTTATGTAATTGTAATTTCTCTGTTTATGTCCCTGTGAAAATGGCTTTGAAAGGGGCCCCGAAACTCCAACGTCGTTTTATAATAATTATAAAGAAGGGCCAACAACTTTTACACGGAGCTACCCTCGTTTAGTTTCGTACATTATAAAGTTTCGTACTTTCCACGAACTGAATGAATCGGGATATCTTCACCGATTTTCTCCTTCCATATCAATGTTTTGTCAGCCAACTTCTCCTACTGTATTTATCTAACCGCCCACTTTCTGTTATTCCTTAATCAACTTGTGTTTTAGAAAATGACCTTTAACCTCTAGAGGTCACCGGGGATCACCAATAACTGAGTGCTAGCTCTTACGTTAAGAGAATATCCCTCTTTTTCAACAATTGAAAAAAAGTAAATAGTGAAAGAAAATATACCCCGACTGACTGCCATATTGAAGAGTGCAGACATTTCGTTTGTGATAAAAGATATCATAAGGCAAATATCACCGAACAAGACCAATGTTATGTTTTGATATTCGAGACCTATGACGTAAAGGAGAATAAAACGAATGTCTGGTTAATAGGTCAACATTTTATATTATGTTTTAATATATTTCAAGTATTGGTACGAATATGTCTTGGAATAGGGGCCATTTCCGTATTCATTGACAAAACATGTAAAATATTTCTTTGCCGTTGTCCATGGGGTACAAAAGATAATTGTTTTCTATGGCTTATTTCTATTGTTTGTTGCTTGGGGGTGCGGGGGTGGGGGCGTCATTCAAATATTGAGGTGAGATGGTTGATGTCCGAGAACTGTGACGTAATCAACACCAAAAAAGAAATCTTATTCTGTTGGTAATTATCTTGAAAATAATCCTTTTTGAAATTGTGTGTCCATCCCTATGACACGTTCGGGAGTCCTACATATATGACTGAGTGTATTCCTATCAGTAAATTATGCAACCGGAATTATCTATATTTATCAATTGGTGTATTTATATTTGTTTTCCCATGCAACACAATAAAATGTTTCTCGCGAACCGACGAATTATACAGCCAATACATACAGCCAAAAGACACATAAAAATGCACACAATGAAAATACACATCTAAATACACATAACACAATATACACAACCGAAATACACATCAAAATACATACAACACAATACACAAAGCCGAAATACACACAACACAATATACACATCAAAATACACATCAAAATACAAACAGACGAAAAAAGAAAGAAAATGTTCATTTTACAAACCGGGGCAGTTGAAATGTATAAATTATATATTATACATAATATATTTTTTTTACGTATGAAAATAAATTTAATGTCATAACCACTATGTTTTTAAAATTATGCCATGTTTATTTTTCGAATTTTGTGCTTGATTTCTCTTTTATAAAAAGGGGAGAGCGGAGGGGGTAATAGTAGCTTACACTTTCCGCTGTAATATATCATACTAATATCATCCCCCCTAGTATATATTAATATCTAACACGTTTTATCATTTATATGACGGTTGTAACATTATAATAAATATTATTGCCTATAAGCATAACCCATAGATTAAACCGTCTCATTTGTCACATAACTCGAGAGTTTGACAGCAACTTTGAATTAACTTGTAAGTGTTCTCGACTGTTTGCTAATCGACGCTTGTTTAGACTTATAAAATTAGATTAAGTCAGCCGAAGTTGGCGAAAGCCTGTGAGACGTTTTCAGCGCTACAAGATACGGATTCCAATACGTTTGAACATAGTTTCGTATTCGGCAACTCTTGCGAGGAATGCCTTTGTACCGACCAAGGAGGATCTTATTCTGGACGCCTTCTCGTCATAGCTAGCGGTTTCTCAGCTTCATGGCAGATTTATGGTAGAAACCTCGAGCCTCTGTATAAATAAATAGAAATGAATATGATGTTTTGAGAAATAGAATTAAAACGTTACATATCTCGTGATCTGTATCGGTAAGTATGTAAATAAATAGAACCGTTACCGTCTAAATTCATCCTCTACACACATTTCCATGTCTTGATATGTAATGTTTATTCAATAGATGGGTCTCTGAAGAAAGTCACCTTTACCATGGACAACCGTGTTGATTAGATAATGGCGTATAAATCTGAAATTTGAAAATGCGGTATCAATCTGAAATTTGAGAGTGCTGTATAAATCTGAGTCTGACATTTGTATATCCCATACAAATCTGAATCTGAAACTTAAAAATGCCGTATAAATCTGAAACTTAAAAATGCCGTATAAATCTGAAATTACAAACTGCCGTATATATATCTGAATCTGAAAATGCCGTTCAAATCTGAAACTTAGAATACCGTATAAATCTGAAATTTTAAAATCTCGTATATATCTGAATCTGAAATTTGGAAATGCCGTATAAATCTGAAACTTAGAAATGCCGTATAAATCTGAAATTGACAAATTCCGTATAAATCTGAAAGCTGCTTGAAATAATGTTAAAGCGACTATAAGTCTATATACAGAAGCCAGAATAATTTGTCGTCATAGTAACTCATCTTGTAATCCTACTAATTGTTGACTATGTATATTAATTTACACGCCAATGTATACACGGGTCCTCTGTTTTTTCGTCCCATCCGAACAACTAGACAACTGCCCTTGTGAAACCCTCCGCACTGCACTACTGACAAGGGGAAACCACGCCGGAAAGTCCCGATGAACTTTCTCGGCCAATGTAGGATCGCAAATGTGACGGTTTGTATACTATGTTATAACTCCGTTATGTGATTATATTTATAAATTTATAACAATATAACTAATCTATACCAAAATTAGTCTCCATTGAAACTCAAAAACTAATACCCCCCCCCCCCCCCAAAAAAAAAAAGAAGTTTATATCTAACAATAGGTACAACTACAGGTTGATGTGTTCAGAGTACACTATCTTCAACCGTTTGTGAGATAGAGAAATGCACCTGACCTGGATTAAGTTAGATAACTGATTAAAAATAGGATGTTAACAATATTTATTTTTTGAATATTTATTTTTAAACTGAGTAGATTATCCTAATAATAAATTAAATATCATAGAGAAACACAAATCTAAACTATAACAATGTATAACTCAGATTTAACATAAAATGCTCTTTCTATGTTTTAAATAAATGAGGCAATACCAAATATTATATTGTATTAATGAACAACTCTCGGAGTCCTCCGCTTTCCTCCCACGGCTAACAACCCCTACGCGCAAGCGAATTATTGAAATAAAATTGAACCATGTGTTAGTCGCAAATGACCTAGTTTGTGTCGAGTGGATGTTAAACCCCATTTCTCTCTCTGTTTGGGGGCTGCATCTATATTACCATATTTATCAAATCACCAACAAAAATGAAATGATTGAATTCTAAGAGAACACAATAAAATGTAGATAAAAAAAGTTTTATTAAAATTTGTGTATTATATGGATGGTCAATTGAACAATTGCGCAAAACAGAAGCTTAATTCAAATCTTAATCCTCCATTTTATTTAGTAGTATATATTCTAGTTAGAGAAACATCTCCTGTGTTCTGATAAAAACCGCTATAAAAGCGGCAGCTAAAGAAACCGCATGTTTTGAGTCTTGCCAACACACATCTCCACGCCAGGTTTTCTCGACTCACTCTCACTATATATATCTAGTTGCCACAACGCCTCGAATCACTTACTAGTATTATGTGTGGAAATTAACCCTGAAGATAGAATATCGCACGAACAACGGGACAAAAATCGCCAACTATTCTCTCGGGAAGACGGTCGACATTTGCGCTACATAAGAAAACATGACGAGGTCATCGGTGCTTGGAAGAAACGCAATCCGCCGTGTAAAACACGTGTTAGGCCATCCCAGTTTTCCTCTGGTAGAAAACCTCAATCAGATACGATTCGTACCACATGTGTTCTACTCTGTTCATTTATTGTACAGAAAGGCCACAACAAAACAATTACAAATAGTAGGCTCGTTGTATTTACAATTGGACAGCGTTATTCGTAATCATAGTGTTTACGAATAAAGTAGCCACGTAGATACAGGATTATGTCGTAACCACAGTGTTTACGAATAAAGATAACCTCGTAGATACAGGCTTACGTCGTAACCACGGTGTTTACGAATACAGATGACCAGGTAGATACAGGATTACGTCGTAACCATGGTGTTTACGAATACAGATAACCAGGTAGATACAGGATTACGTCGTAACCACAGTGTTTACGAATAAAAATAACCTCGTAGATACAGGCTTACGTCGTAACCACGGTGTTTACGAATACAGATGACCAGGTAGATACAGGATTACGTCGTAACCATGGTGTTTACGAATAAAGATAACCTCGTAGATACAGGATTACGTCGTAACCACGGTGTTTACGAATAAAGACGACCTCGTAGATACAGGATTACGTCGTGTTTACGAATAGAGATTACCTTGTAGATACAGGATTACCTCGTTACCATAGTGTTTACATCTTTGATCCAGAAACAAAACAACTTTGCACATAGTTTCTTATTGATGCATTTGATACATTAAAAGAACAAAAGTTTTATAAAGGGCTACCTTTTAGTTAAAATAAGACGAACAATTTTGAGTAAATTCTTAACTAAAATCTGAGAATGCTTTGTGAACTCGGGGCCAGGAGTTCACTTAACTAACCAACTTTTGTACGGTAGTAATAGTATGTCATTGTGGCAGGACCCATTCTTATTTTATGGTTGTCCAAGAATTTATTTAGAATGAACTCAGCACTATAATGTCTTCATTTACCATGTTTCAATATGTGGCCAAGATTTCCATTAACAGACACTGTTAAATTATTTCATTTGGCCTGTTCAGCTATCCTCTCTAAAAGCCACGGACACCAACCTTAAGCAAACATTGGATTGTTTTCCTACATGGGTTTGATGCTTGATACGGTTTTTATATAGACTTCTAACATCGGTGACTACACACCACGTTTCATGTAACATCACTTGTCAACAACGCTTATATTTCACGGATCGAATTAAATAAAACAAGAATAGAAACACGAGTAATAGTATAAACAGAAAATGAGAGTCAATACGCGGTTGTCTGCCCCTTAAGTTGACTCTAAATATTGTCTTATACAAGTTTACAAAGGTTTGGTTCTCTTGGGGGTTGCTTTTTATCATTTTTCATTTGACGAATTTCCATATGTGTTGTTCTTTTCCAATAATGTTATATTAATAGCTAGAAATAAAAAGTAAAACGCGAGTTATCTGCCCTTGGGTTTGATAAGAAGCTCACGTAGTGTGTGACTTAATGTGACGTCATTATCTATATACTGCCCATCGCGCGTCTGGAAAGGCTAACAAGGAACTTCTTGCTAGTCGTTTTCAACATCCTTCTTGCAAAAACACATTGTCCTTCGTACAAAATGTGGGGTTGGATTGCCCAAAGGTTAGCGCGTGCGCGTTATGTCATAAGGTCTGTCAGTGATTCAACTGGCGTGGTTTCGATTCCCCGGTTGTACGTGACAAGGAGTAGGGTCGCTTGTCCAACGTCGTGGGTTTTCTTCGGGTATTCCGGTTTCCTCCCATTGCTAAAGACCCCTACTCGCAAGCAAATAATTGAAATAAAATCGAATCGTTGTTTAGTCCCGAAATGACCTAGTTTGTGTCGAGTGGACGTTAAACCCCATTCCTCTCTTAAAACCGTTCTAATCTACTTAAAATCGGAGCCATACGAAGGCATCGAGAGTTGATTATGGTCTTGTCAAGTTAATACAAATTTAATTACTAATTTAATTAATACCCAAAGTAAGACCTGCAATTGGCAGATTTTGCTCTCACATAATGCCTGTTTATAGCGAATTAAAACAATTTTAATAGAAAACAGAAATTAATCATCTAAAAAATTCGTTTGCCCACAGATTCCTAGAATATTATCCCAAAAGTACTTAAAAAATTTATAAAATCAATTTTACCATTTTATTAATACCAGTTACTTTTAATTATAAAAACTGCGTCCTTGAAATTAAAAATCAACCGAAACGAAATTAAAATTGTAATTAAAGCACAAGTACTTACGTTGATGCCAACTACCGTCTTCTGGATGACTATGGGTGGTGTGTGAAATTACTCCGCGTGTACGCCATGTCTGCGCATTACATAACGTATGCAGTTTCATTTCGTGACCCTTGAACTCGCGGGAAAACGCCAAATTTCATACCAGGAAATTAAAATGAAAGAAGAACGAGTATGTTTATCACGTGACCCCCTACGGAGATTCTAATACATTCTAATCAGTGTATATATCATTTTCCCTTTTCTCGCTAGCTCTCGCCCACTGCGAGATAATTAGTAATAATCTTATTAAGACATGCTCACAGAGTGGTATAAACGTTCATTCTGCCAGACCTACGAGCAGTTGTCGTTAAAAACAAAATGCACCCATTTCGAAAATTATTGCAAAAGTTTCATGTACTTCCTTTCGAGAAAAATTATTTTAAATTACATTTTATTATGAAAATAGATTTAATGGTGGGCTTTACGACATGTTTAAAATTAAATGATTATAACAAAACAACAAAAAAAACGTTTGACTGATTTGTACTCGTTTGTTTAACAGAGAGAGACACAGAGGGAGAAAGGGGGAGAGAGAGAGAGTGAGAGAGAGAGAGAGAGAGAGTTTATGAATAAAGATTCCTCGTAGATACAGTATTTATGATACAGGATTACTGTAAGCCAACCTTAACCACGAACTAATCTTTGCTTTGTTAGTATTACACCAACCCTAACCACACCGAGGAGAGAGACATCGAGAGAGAGAGGGAGAGATTTAATGTCCACTCTACACAAACTAGGTAATTTCGGGACTAACAATTATATTTCATTAATTCGCGTGAATAAGGAGGGGCGGGGATGACGGGATAAACCCACGAGGTTAGGCAAGCGACCCTTGTCACGTACAAGTATGGGATTGAAACTACGCCACTTCACTCAATGACAGACCTATAGAGCTAAGACCTAATGTGGACACAATAGACCATGGTCCTTTTCCCATTGTGATCGCCATTTCTGGCAGACCTAAGGAGCTAAGACCTAAAGTTGACACATGGTCCTTACCCCATTGAGGTCGCCATTTCTGTTGACTTTTCTTTTGGTCTAGAATTGAAGAAAAGTGTTAGAATATACATTTTCTGTCGGATTTGGTGAATATTCATGATTTTGAAGCGGGAGGATAAGAGAGTTCATATGTTGGTTAAGGTGAAATATACGGCAGATAGTTATATGTTTGTGTGTATGCTACTTCCAGTTTGTGTATCTCAAGGTTTTCATGATAAACCCTATACAGGAGTCTCAGCACGACGTCTGGCTCCATCTGTGATAGAAAGCGTTCACACCAACGACAATTGGGGGAAAAGGTAGAGTAGTCAAAGCGAATAAGGCCCTACTGTTCAGTTTGTCAAATTTTTTTTCTAAAATCATTAAATCGTTAATAACATATCTTTCCTTGTCGGCCATATTTTTCAATAATTTGAGAGCTATTGACAAAACCAAAAACAACAAAAACAAATCCCGCCCTTGTTGGTTCTTGTCCGTGGTTAGTAGGTCCGATGGAATAGAATTACTGTTGATTACTGATCGGCGTTTCAAATAGGCTTCTCTGCTCTTCACCATTGCTTGATCAAGCCTTGAAACGTCGCCCAATAGTAAACAGTCATTCTATTCCAGAGGCTCGCGCCCATTGTGCTTCCGGTTCAATTAGTAAATGCCATTGACACAAATTTAAAACCAATGCGGCTGTTAGTGATCTGTAGCCATTGAGGGTGGCGGTTGTGACATTCGCAGAGTACTCAGGCAAACTCTTTGGGGATAGCCACTAGGGTCTCGTAGGATCGCCGGTTTAATTTGGCTTATG